TATAATATATATATTTATGATATGGATATTTACATCAGTTTCATGTTTATATACATGTGCAATATTTATTATAAGCTGAAAAAATTAGTAGTTATCGTTTTGATCGCTACGCAGCGCAACCGCGTTTCAATATTTCGTCCACTAACACCGATAAGCAACGCGATAGCACTTTCATTTTAGTACGAAGAGATTTGTCAGACAATAATTTGATTATATACTATTTATATCTTTATAATTGTTTTTAACAGTTGTTTGCATTTATCTTTATCTAGACAATGTTAAAAGAGAAAAGTGAATCAATTGCAGTATTATTACAGAATTATTAGTTTTTTGGTTTTGAATACCCAATTTGTAGATAAATAGCAGTCAAACGATTCAGGAAATATTATTAAACATTTGAAATGTTCATAAAAGAAGTAATTCACAATCTTCCACTTATTTTTCAGCTTATTCCGAATTTAGGTTTTAAAAATTCAATTCGAATCTGGTTGCTATTTCGTTAATTCAATTGAATGTGAACTTAGCTGAAATAACTTATTATGGTGGTCATACTGGTATTTATCCATTGTTTACTTGTCATTTGTCAAGTGCCATATAAAAATATTATTATTTTGTCAAATGATATGTATACAATTTATTAGCTATTTCGATTAATATTTAATAAGTTTGAAAATATCAATCGGCAATATAGATAAATTGTAATTAACGAAATAAACCCATATTAATTAAGCTTATAAATAGTTAGGTTATAGTTATCTGAAATAATTGCTATCGAAACCGATAAGCATTTTAAGAAATGATTCAACTTCAATAGATTACTAGAAAAACAATGCCGAGCGTTTAAAGCCTTCAATAAGTTTTAAACAATCAGTGGAATTCTAATTCTATTTTTTATAATTTGTATTTAGTAGTTTTATAACCCAATTAATTTTTTTAAATTTACTTTGGAACATGCAATGTAAAGTGAAAATTATAAATAGTTTGGCTATTCAAGTTTGTAAAAGAATATTGATTAAGATGATATATTCGTATTAAATATTGCTATAAATCATCTCCAATATAAACACAAATTTTGGTTAAACGTTAATGACATTATTATAATTAACTTTCTAAGAACGTGTTAATATGTCGGAGATTTTTTCGTTAGAAAAAACATGCCGAACTTGTCTTGGAAATTTAAATGCCGAATCTATATCTTTATACGATGATGTGTTCATCCAAGATCAAAAAATAATTTCAATAAAGGATGTTCTAAATTTGAATTGCTGTATAGAGGTAAATCATCTAAATATTTGGTATAAAATAAGTATGTTTTCAAATAATACAAATAAATGTCATATACCTATAGATTGTACCTGAAGATGGTTTACCAAAGCATATTTGTATGGATTGCATGCAAAAACTTAAAGAAATATATTTGTTTTACATTCAGTGCCAAAGTTCTGAGGAATTGTTAAGAAAATATAAAATTGATAATAATCTTGTAAGTGAAATATATTTTTGGTATATAATTTTAATATATTTTTAATACTTGATTCTCAATTTTATAAAATGTGTTCTAATTTTAATCAAGTCGGCCCATCAACTGCATTTGGATGGAATAAAAATAAAAAATAATGCAGCTTTAGAAGTAATTATAGATGAAATTACATTAGATGATAATGCATCATTATTAATCCTTGGAGAAAGTACAAGTGAGTTGAGTTGAATGCACAATTTATTAGTGTTTAAAATAGTGTAAAAAAAAAATTGTTTCAGAATCACAATTTAAGGAGAATGATGTTAAAAATGATAATGATAATACTTCATCACATGTACAGACTTGTGAAAATCATGTTGAAAAAAAACAAAACTATCATTGTGCTGATTGTGATATATCTTTTCATTGGAGAATTAAATATAATGAACACATTAGAAAATTTCATAAGGTTGATATATATTTTATTGATTGAAATCACTAATTTATTTTTATTTAATGCAACTACAAATTTGGAATTTTAGTTCACTTTGAATGTGAAGAGACCTAAACAATATACTTGCAGTATATGCAATAAATCCTTTGGTGTTTTATCAGATCTTGAAAAACATAAAAGAAAATGTACTTTCAAATCCTCAGAAAATACAACTTTAAACAATGATATTTTGGTCTCAGAAGATAAAGTGGAATCTTCGAGAGAACATATTTGTCCAAGTTGTAGAAATTGTTTTGAAACTTTATCAGAATTAAGATCTCATACGAAACTGCACATTAAAGGTTTGCATTAATGTTCTATGTTTGAATATTGTATTCAAGTATTTAATGTGTTATTAATAATAGATATGAAATATGGGTGCTCTTCGTGCAATAAGTCGTTTTGTAATGAAGCTAATTTGGATAGACATGTTAGGAAACAGCATTTACAAACACACATTTGCAATGTTTGTAATAAAACTTTTCTCAATCAGAGAAAACTCAGGTATTATATTTTTATTATTTATATATATATATATATATTATATTTTTATAAGTGAATTAAATAAATGATATTTTTTATAAATAGATATCTGTATAAAATCTAAGGCAAATTTATTTATTTATTTATTTATTCAACGCCCAAGGCAATAATACAATATAGTTACATTTTAAAGTGTACAAATGATAAACTAAAGAGGTAATATGTGAGAAAATTAGTGTGAGTATCAAGAGTTCATAGATAGCTTTGTTTATATATATACATAACATTTAATATAAACTACAAATATATAACATTAAATAAAAACTAATAAAATTAAACATTTAATAAACTATAAATCACTTAAGACAGTCTTTTAAGGATAATTGCATATCCATATATAGATTTTGTACACATGGTAATTATATTAATAACTTATAGCTGAAATAACAATGTAAATATTGTTGTGTGTTATTTTGTTTTTCTAAAAATAAGTAAAAATTTATCCCATTTTATCCATACTGTTAGTTTTTTATTATTATTTTGTAGACTGCATGCAACATGTCATACAGCAGAATCAGATAAAAAATATAAATGCAGGTATTGCATTAAAAAATTTAATCAAGTTCATCATTTAGAAAATCATGAAAGAATTCATACTGGGCAAAAGCCTTACTTGTGCAATGAATGTGGAAAAGGTAACTAGAAGCTTTTTTTTAACAATCTGATTTTGAACAAATTATTAAGATATTAAGAATAAAATGAAGGATTTAGACAACAATATGCCTTAACGTTACATATGCGTATTCATACTGGGGATAAGCCTTACATTTGTCAAGAATGTGGAAAAACATTTAATCGTAAACAAGGTCTGGATTCACATTTGCTTTGTCATAGTGGAAAAAGAGATGATAAAGTTGCTAGTGATGGTAAACCTCATATTTGCACAGAATGTGGAATAAGGTACTTGATATTTATAATGGCTAATATAACATTTATTTGAAATTACAAACTATATTTTTCTTTTCCTAAATGTTCTTAATAAAGTGCTATTCATAAATCTATTATAGTATATATATAATAATAGCATTATATATTATTTTTCATTATATTATATATATATATATATATATATCTATTATAATAGCATTGCAAACCACATATTCAAATATTCGATTAGAAAGTGTGCTCTATATACCAAATGGTATATAAAGTGTGACTTTATATACCAAATCAAATAGCATATTAGTAATGCTTGGCTACATAAGTTTATTTTTTGCATGTAATTCATGCTATATTTTTAGGGTAACAAGACTGCATATATTAATAAAACATATGTGGGAAGTTCATAAAAAATGTGATGATCCAATTCTTTTAGAACAAGCTAAGCAACAAGCAAAATTAAGAAAAGATGACAAAGTAATCAAAGGAGTTATATATGCTTGCAATGTAATAGTTTTTTCTTCTTATTTATGTATACTTTTTTAATTTAATCTTATTAAAGTTTATTGTAGGTATGTGATACAAAATTTCAATCAAATCTTAAATTGAAACAACATATGAAAGTTCATGCTTTTCAATATATATGCAGTGTTTGTTCAAGAGGTAAGAATGTTTTTCAAAAATATAGACCTCTATTTTGCTCTATTTTATTGTTGTAGAACCATGTAGACGGTGTAGACCTATAGAAGTCCTTTTATTATTATTTCATTGTTTTACAAAAATTAGAATAAGTAATTTAGGTACAATTAATACTCACACACATATTTTAATATTACTGTCAGTAATTGAAAAAATGAAATCGCAAAAATAAAATTCAAAGTAGCAATACTTGTAATTGACAGTGCAACTGTTACTTAGAGATTGGTATATGCATTGAGTTAAGTAATTCTCAATTAATTTTATGGTCAAATCACTACTTCATTTGTTTCCTATGTATACTATAGTATGAGTTAAAAATATTCCCAAATTTACGCATTTGATAAATTTGTATTTGTACCCACAATAGAATATATTTTCTATTGTTAGTACAAATACAATTTTATCAAATGCGTAAATCTGAGCATATATTTGATTTATATAAGGTCATGTTAGGTTAATATAACATTTTACTAACTAAGTGTATGCGAAGCGTTATTATTACATATTTTTCAGAACAGAAATGATTTATTTTTTTATTAACTACCAACAGAAGAAGTTTACAAACAAATCCAATCGATACATACAAATGTTCATCTTTCTTAATATTCACTAATATTAAATTAAATTAAATAAATATTATTTAATTATTATTATTATTATAACTATTTCTTATTGTTTTTGTATTTATTATTTTTCTTATTTTTTGCTTTCACTTTACTAAATTTGGTTAAATTATTCATCTTATCTTGTATTATCAAATAATACTGATAAGGACTCGTGTTGATTTTGAGAGACGGTCGGCCTAGCTAGGGCGAAATTTTTCTTACAAAACAAATTTACTGCACTTGGGTTATGTAATTAGTTGTTTTATATCATATATTTTTTACAGCATTTATGTTAAGAAGTCAACTGGAGGCGCATAGCAGATTCCATACAGGTTCTGTACGGTTACATTCTTGTTCGCATCCTGGATGTACGCGCAGCTTCAATAGACCAGAACACGCACGGGCTCATTATATGCGAGCGCACACCACGGAAAGGCCGTATCAGTGCGAGGTTTATATCTTTTTATTCGAAATAATATTCTTAAAGTCATTCTCTTTTTAATATGTTTTAATTTTTGTATATACAATAATAATTAATTTTTGAATTCGAACTTTTGAGCAATGTTGTATACATATTACCAATTCAAGATACGCATTATCGGTCCTGCCCCATCAGTTTTCCGAGGTTCTTGCTACTTTTCAGTGTGTTACTAGTAATAACAATTACTGGTATGTTTTACAAAAAAGGTCTCGAGTGCTATGGGAACCTCCCCATATTTGTTCCTTTCAGAAAATAAGATTTGCTGATTTTATGATTTGTCAACATTTCAAGTAGGCCTTCCAATACCGTACTAAAATCTGAATACCGGTATTCGATATTTGAAATTTGTAATATCGGATCCCGGTCTTAATACCGGTATTATCAATGATAAATTTACTAGTCAAATTTTTAGTTACTGCAGTTGTTATATTGACATATTAGCATTATTATTGTTTTAAAATGAGTACATATTAAATATTTTATCACATAGAGAATAGGAGTTAGATAGATACAAAAAAAAACTTGCAAGTAAACAATTATATATTAACTTTTATGTTATACTTTACGTATAATGGGCTCATATGGAATTATATATTTAAAGAAGAAAACAAATTCAATTAAGAAGTTATATTTTGTTTATTAAAATATGTTTTTAAAAAATATAAACGATCAATTGTTTCATCTTCAAACGAGGACCGAATTTTAGTACAAATATTGCCTTTTCTCATTTTACACTTGTCCGCACAATACGAGTACATTATTAGTCGATATGAGTTAGTACATAGTATAGTGTATTTAGTTCATAAATAAATCATTAGATATCAACACTTCACAAAGAGTTATAGGCAATTATTGTATTTACTGATTGTCCAATAAATAAATAAACGCAACGTACGCATGAGAAAGAGGTCATCCACCACCAAGACCAATATCGTTTCTTTATAATTAGTAGATAAGTGCATTTTTTTCGTCAAACTGAACTGATTTTGAATGTTCAAAAGATAACAAATAGAAATAGAAATCATCATCATCATAGTTTATGATCTTATAACTTATGGGCCTACAAAAGTTTAACTAAAAAGTGTTCAGAAGTAGTTTAATTAAAACAACTCAGAATAATGCAATAATGGTATTAATATCAATGGAATTAGCGTGGATGAGTTTTACATGAAAAGTGAAATCTTTATTTTTATAATCAGTTAAAAATTTTATCATCACAATTTTAATAGTTGCTACATTTCACTTCTTATTTATCAAGTCGAATATTTATTTATACATGTTGGGGAAGTTTATGTACCTTGCTTTGATGCAAAACGCCACTTACACCTAGTTTAGTTTATATATTTTTAGTTATTTAGATTTTTATTTATTTAGTTGGCAACTGGCCTTTTTTATACTACTTTATCTTTATTTTGAATTATGCAAATTTATTTTCAATTTCAAAAAGTTGATTATTTTTTTAGGTTTGCTTAAAAGGTTTCTGTCAGTCTGGTGATCTAAAAGTGCATATGCGTTATCACACAGGTAAATATACATTGAGAATTTCCTTTTAAATTATTAAGTAACTAAATTAAATAAGTAATTTATTTTTAGGTGAGAGGCCATATGATTGTTCATTTTGTGATAAATCTTTTGCTGCAAGCAGTGCACTTAAAGGTCACATGCGAAGGCATACTGGTGAACGCCCATATTGCTGTGCAGTTTGTCAAAATGGATATTATACTTCAACAGAACTGAACCGTAAGTGCTTATTATAAATAACCCTTCATAAATTAATTAAATTATGGTACACATAATAAATTATAATTTGAACTAGTTGAAATGAAATCTTGTCTTAAATTTTTAATAGTATTTTTTTATTATATATAATTGAAATAATATTTGAACAGATTTATTAAACCTAAATCTTTCATCCAAACAAAAAGATATGAAAAATAATGATTTAGAATTATATATACTCTTCTTTTATCTATGTTATATATTATATTAATTAAAATAATAGATGCAAGAATTGAAACAGCTATACATTTTTAAAATCATTTATTTGTGATATATTTTGTTTAATATTTTCCAATTTAAAGATAATTATATATCACAAATCATTTAATTTCAATTGTAGTGCATATGAAGAGCCACACTTCGAAGTCCATTGAGATTGCTACAGATGTAATTGACAATCAAGTTTTGGATATTGTTAATAAATAAAATGAAACATTCGGTTTATAAAAATAACTAAATATTTTTATTATTAATTATATAAATTCATTTTCTTATATATATTTGTACTCCAAATATTAAATAAAAACTCAGAACATAAAAATACGGTATATGAATAAAATTTTAAATTCCATTTGGTATAGGACTTGATTCTAAAATTTCATTAATACATTTGCTTGCTTCATTATCAATTATTACATTTCTGCACACGGTTGAAGCTGTTCTATTTTCTTTACTAAATATTAGTATTTCCCCATACCAGAATTGTTCAGGACTACCCCTAAAAATATCTTGTATATTGTAAAGGCTAGAACTGCATAAACAAATCTAAAGCCCAAAGTAATTGGTTATCGTTCATTTTAATAAGAAACTTACGATTGGCTAAATAACTGCAAATCTTGCTCAATTACTTTTTCTCCATATTTGTTATGGAATGGTGTATTTTTAAGTTTACCATTATTTCCCATTGCCATAGTTCTTTTGGTAATACCTAGTTTCAACTTAGTCTTGCCAGATAAATATTTTAAGATGTGGTTTTTTGCACCTTCAATTCTATCTAAATCATCTTTCTAAAAAAAAAAAAAAAAACTATATAAGTTCAAGCAAGACGGATAAAAAAATATTAAATACAATTATATGTTACATTGCTAAATTTTTTTCTATAAATGACTTTATAGAAATCTCTTATCAATATTCGATTTAGTAATGATTTAGCTTCATCACAATCTGACCAAAGTATTCTCTCTATTATACTATCTGTTAATTGTTCATAAGCGACCATATTCCTGTGAGCAGTTGAAAATTTGTACCTGTAATAGTAATTGATTAGTTTCATTAATAAAATTAAATAATTGGGAGAATATAAATTGCTTACTCTTCACCCGATCGTAGTCGTATTTTCAACTTTGGATCATTTTCAGCTAAGGCAATTGCATCAAAATACCTGTTGGAAATATATATATATATATATATATATATATATATATATATATATTAAATATTGTGTTTTGCATGGTTATTTGATATTTATTTTGATTTTTATAAAAATTAATTGTGATTTTTTAAGAATTTTATACTTTAATTAGTTTTAATACAATTTTACAATTAGAAATAAGCTATTATTTTAAGTTGTAAAAAGTAATTGATAAATATTTTTATAAAAATATAACCATTTCATTTGATTAACTTCCCAAAGGAGAAGTTTGTAAATGTTTTTGTTTGAAAATCTGAGATGTTAATTTTATGTTATCATGATGTTTCAAGTCATAATATATAGCTTAATATTTTATACTTCTTCATACATTTCTTCTGCCATTTGACCAGCTTTGTGTTTATAACAATAAAAGTGTAAATTAGCGCGGTCCATATACATTCTAGATACATTAATAGCATCGGAATCTCTATAACTTATATGACTTGTGCCATCAACATCTTTAATAACTTTAACACCTAAAATAATGAATTATGCAAAGTTGTAATTGAATTGGCTGAAATAAATCTAGTCTAGAATTGTTTCAGAATACTTTCCTGATAATAACCGCATATGATCAAAACCGGTTGGAATATTGGTGTATTTTGAATCGCGAATTAGGTAATCCCATTTATCAACATCCATGTCACAATATTTATTATTTACTATCTGAAAATAAATTTATGAATTAAAAAAAAAAAAGAACTGTGGAAGTATTATCTTCAAGTAGGGGTTAAAATTTATATCATATGTTGGAACATTACATTTTGGGATAATCACTATATTATTATTTTTTTATGATAAAACATTGTAGAAAATAACTACAACAGTTGTATGCAACATTGGTATATTTGTTTTATACTATCAACTCACCTCATATAAATATTGTAATTCAGGAGGTACAGTAAAATCACTTTCCTCATCGAATCCTTTTATCAAATTTTCAATCATTGAAATATCTTCGGATGATAAATCGTGGTTAATATTTTCTAATAATTTCTTAAACATTAATACAGATGCTTGTTCATGCTAAAACATGATCTTACTTATTAAGATAGTTTTAATTTTGATTGAAATTAAATTTAGTTTTGCTTGAAAACCTACACTCCAATTGTCTTCAGGTTGATTTCTTCTAACATATATTTCCCATGAGTGAGACATAGGTCCGTGTCCTAAGTCATGGCATAAAGCTGCAATTTTAACACACATTTTGTGCTTTGGCAAAATGGTAAGATTTTCTGTATGCAACTCGAGATTATTTAGCATTTCACCAGCAAGGTGGCATACTCTAGAAATATTATATATGTTAATTTTTTTTATTGTAATTTTGATGTTGAAATAAGCAAAGCAAATTATTCAGGGCAGTACATCAAGTAAAAAGACCTAATTAAGTAGTGATAATAATATTACTTCACTATTTCTTGTTCATTGAAATCAAACAAAAATATTTTTTCAGATTCAACAATGATTTAAATCCACAAGAAATAGTGTGAAATATTATTATCATCATTTGTTAATTAGGAGCATTCCAGTTTACATGCAAGTCTAATTCATGCAATTGTACTTTTTTATATATTAGTCAGATTTATTTTTCTTTTTCACTGTCATGTAGTATAGTTATTTTATATTAAGACTTTCAATTATTAGTTTCTTGCAATTAATATTCCATTGTAGATGACATAATATATCGAAATGAATGGAAATGATAAAGATTTTATTAATTTCTACAATTTTTATTTAATGTATTATTGTCCTGATTTTAATACTTCAACTTTAAAATTATTATAAAATATTTTAACATATGTATATATACATATATTTATATAACAAATAAATATATATATATATATATATATATATATATATATTTATTTATGTAAATATATCGCACATCACTTATAATAAGTCTGTGGAATTATTTATATTTGGATATTGGAATTGTGAATAATTCTTAGTTGAAATGTGGACTTTACTATTACCATAATCTTTAATATACCGTCAATTTTTCATATTATTAAATATTCATAGCAAATTATTCCAAATGTTGATAATCTTATGGACTTATTGAGTGATGGTTTATATATAATTTGTCCAGTTTCTACTATACGATGAATAAGCTTCACAGGATATGTGTCCATATAAATTTATTATTTAATACTACCGTATTGTAATACTGAACAATTCTCAAAAATTCTGTTATTCTCATGTTAGTTACACAGAATATTTTTACCTTAATAAGTTTCTTAATACATAAAATACCAATTATAAATACCCTATAGAATGTTCAAAGCGACTGTGTGTTGCGCTAGGATAAACCAAATTGGATGAACCGAGCTGCTTAATGTTTCTCAATCTTTGAAATTCTGGTGTGTCAATTATTTTGAAAATAAGAGGATCGAATTGCATGTGACCATGGATAGAATCATTCATTTTGAGAGGCGCCTGTGCTGCAAAGGTAATTGAAATATTAAGTTAAATTATGTGTAATAAAAAATACAAATATTTTTGAGAGCTCAATTATCATTAAAATTAAGTGTAAATTAAATATGATGATATGGAAATATATCAGTATATGGAAATTTTTATTACAACAAGAACCCATTTATAGGTGAAAGAAAAGTGTATAGTAACACATTCTATAGAATTCACATTGACTTATATTTGTGGTTACATATGTATTTAAATACACAATTTTAATGAATTTAAAATGCGGCCATATATAATTTTTAGTTTTAAACAATCTATGACTAGTTCATATCTATTTGGTAAATGTCATCATTTATAGTGCAGTGCAAAGAATGCACAATGTCAGTGTGGTTTGGGTTTGCATTTAGTAAACGTCAAAGATCAGATAGAATGACATGTTTTAGATATTTTAACACAAGGTAATATTTTAAAAATCATTTAAAAATTTACTATTGTTTATTACTTGGGTCCTTGTAAAGTAATTGATGATATTGACACGGTTTTGACTTTTATAGGTTATGTGCAGTTAATGTTGCTATGGGTTGCTATGTATACAAGTTACTTGTTAGTGTGAGTTTAAATCAGGAACAACGAACACATGGATTTTAGCACGGTTTTAATACAAGAGTTAAAAAAATACAGAATATAAACCTTCATCGATCAAGGTGAGTTTTATGTAATAAGTTTTACCATCAATTTTTAAATATAATTACAATATTATCAACTTACCATCACCAAGATCAGCTTTCTCACTCATATTGTATTTTAAATTTATATTATGTTGCTATGACTGAGGGAACACCAGCTTATAGAAACCGTGTCATAAAACTAACACGCTTGCGCAATTGTAGAAAATTAGAACAATATTTTTGTTACATCAATAAGACCTTTAAAAAATTCTACACGTCTCTTAACTATTTATAATAAGTTTTCAAGTACCGATTAATGTTCCTGGAATATATGCGTGATAATAATAAACACTTATTGAAATTAAAATTTAATTCAGAAAAAAGATTTTTAAATAGATATGCGTAAGCGTAAAGGTAGCATTAGTGTTTTATTTTTATCTAATAGGAAATGCAAATTCCGCGTCAACAGTAAAATTTAGTTTTGCGTCCTGTTTTATCTATGAAGTAAACTAGAATATGTCGCATAAAAACTAGTATCGTTCATTTTTATTTATCCGAATTCATTTATTGTTAGTGAAAACATTTCTTATCAATTGTTATTGTGCTCAGAAAAATATTTGCGATAATTTTTAGGTTACGCAATACACGAGCGTGCGATGTTTGTATTAAAATGGATTTCTTTTGCACTTTTGTATATATTTTTTGTACTTCATCAATATCAATAGGATTCTATGAGCTATTGTGATTAAGTTCACGCTAGCTCACACATTTATACATATACGCACACACAGGGCCGGATTTAAATTTATGAAAATCGAGGGCACTGACGGATATATTGCCGCACTATCATTGACCAATTGAAGTTTGTTGCAAAAAGGCATAAATGATTTGAAAATGTTTGTATTAAAAAAAAAACAATATAAACTTAATGATTCCCGAAAAGACAAGAATTAAATACACCTATTTCTCGTTTTACACGGTATTCGTTTTACTACACATTTTCGATCTTAAACGGATTTGGACAATTTTTTTTAACTAAATTGAGTTTGTAAATTGAAAATGAGACCAAATTTGGAAAAAGTATGTGTTGTATGTGTGCATGTGTGTGTGTATGTGAACAGATTTTTTGCCATAAATCGACTTTTTCTCAAAAACGGCTAGACCATTTTCAAAAATTTTAAAGCCATTCGATGTAACTCGATGAGGACTAGCGTTTCTTTGTAAATATCAGAAAAGTAAAAAAAAATCGTCCACGTTTTAGCCGCAATTCGAAATCCAAAACTGTTCGAAAGATTGTTTGGACTACGACAAGTCGTTTTAATCAATAAGAAATCTAGATTTATAAACGTTAAAACGTTTCGAATTTCGAAATAGTTTTCGCTTTTCAATAAAAACAATGCGATTTCGAATTGATATATTTCAAACAAACTTACAATATCTGCAATTGTATAAATTGAATTAATTCATTTAACATATATAATCCTAAACAATATTATATCATGTTCTGAAAATATATTGTATTTAAGTAGGGACATCAACGGTGATCAGTATGATACATAGATAAACAAATATTAAGAAACATAGATTAACAAGTGATATGGAGTACATAATGGAATTTAAACGGTGTATGTGATGTGCTAAGAGCTCGGCCCATTTTTTTTTTATTTTATTTTTATTTATTTATTTATTATTATACAGCAATCAGAACAGTAATTACATTCTATGATCTGCTGTGCTAAAATATATAAACTTAAAAAAGAATAAACTAAATAAGAATAAATAAAGATATCAACATAAAAATAGTAATTCGTAATAATAATAATAGATAATATTAATAAATAATATATTAATATTACAAAAAAATTACATTAAATTAACTATCATATTTTGATGATTTACTAGAAAATATAGAAATTGTTCCCTTAAACAATTTGCTAGATCAAGATATTGGTGGTTTTTGCTCGAGTCTTCTGAAATGTGGTATCTTAAGCAGTTGTGCAACTATTTTATTTGGATGGGCTCGGCCTATTATAACAAGTTTTAATACATTTATATAATTATATAATCAAACCATTTTTGTAGGATTATAATGTTCTAGAATATTTCTAGTTCGTATAGACTACAGGTTCTCAAAGAGTTTATATTGTGATGTTTTTTTATTTTCAATTCCTGGTCTACACAATTTTGTCATAGATATCTGATCCATAGTTATGGACCACTTTGGGAAATGCTGGTTTAGACCATGAACACTTTAGACAATGTAATAATATGATATATGAAACAATATAACTAACGATAAGTTTTATTAAAATCGACATTTTTTTCAATAATTCATTACCAAGAAATGACCAACTGATCTATAACAACTAATCAGCCTGATTCCTAACTGATATATTTCAAAATCCCAATTTTGACGGAAAGGTTGATGAAAATTTCCTACTTACCTATTGTAAAGAATCACCCCGAGCTCATAATGATTTTTATCAAATGATCTTTTGCAATCGGTCCAATCGAATTTGAGAATTTGACGAAAGATCAAACTTTGGCTCACGCATATTTTTTTCAATTTTGTGCCAATTCAGAAAAACTAGCAAAAATAAACTTCCCTTTCTGGAAGTTAATTAAATAAAATATCTATATTTTTGTAAAAATATTTATAAATTATACTTATGTATGATTTACAATAATAGCTTATTTCTAATTATGACAGTTGTAATACTAATTAAAAGTATAAAATGTTCAAAATATCACATTTCATTTTATAAAAAGATCAAAATAAATAGCAAATAAATGATTCTATTAACTATTATGTTATAAAAGTCTTTTATATATTTTAAATAATGTGCCTAATCGTATCTGGGCAAGGATCTAATATTTGTTTTTGATAACGCATTAAAACAATTTTCCAGCTGCACAATATAAAGCACTTAATTAGAAAAGAATAACAAAGCTATTTAATATCGTTTTCTTAATTAATTATATTTTTTAATTATAGATAATACTAATTGATATGTATTTATATCATACAATTATTGGCCAATAGACGAGGCTAAAAGACAATTTATTCGCAAAAATAGTGACTTTCAAAAATTGCAGATAATATTGATGATGATATTTTGCAATTTGTATATAATATTAAGAAGTCTTTTCTTTAAGTAATTTTTACAATTTCTCACAAAATTGACAAAATTTAACGCATTTTATTTATATGAAATTATAAGATATAATAGCTTGCGTAAATGCATTGTGTTGTTATTATCATGTATTTGATCATAACAATACGATTGGTATTTCTTTTCCATATTTGGATTTTTTTTCTAATTTACGTTAAAAGACCTTAGGGTCTTCGAAAATGTTAGAAAAATATTTAAACGACAACTTAAATAATTTAATAGAATAAAATTTAATACCTCAACTTAGTTGTCGGAAACTTTTATTGCAACTTTCATTTTCGAAATAAATGTAATAATTTAACAAGAATTGCGAAAATTACGTAAATCAAATAAATAATCGTAAACTATTCATTTCTTTAAAGCAATAATAGGCTAGATTCTAAAACTAGCTATTGTTTCATGAACACTATTTGTAGCATATTTCTCGTTACATAATATCCGTGTTTAGCTAATCTTATTAAAAATAATATAAGAGATTTTGTAATTTTTTTCCACTTTAAATTTTGCTACAGAATTCGTTTTGGTTTTGGTAAGAATTTTACAAAAAACTCTAAAATACGGCAGTCATTTTATTCCGATTTTA